AACTGCTTCGTGACACCCAGCCTCACATTTAAGTTTACGTTTTCACATACTGTAGATGGAAAAATTGGCGGGGCAGGTTAGTTGGAAAGAGGAGCCAGTGAGTTAACCAACAAAAATAAGTTGTATCCTAGCTTTGAATGTGTGACATCACAGAAGGTGATTGGTTTAGAAAGTTATCAAGTGTATGCTTGGTACCCACTCTGAAAATACCTCATTGGTGGTTCGTCCTTTGGGTGATGAACAGTGTCCTACTCTGCTCAACGTTTTTCTTCCTTAGGATGCTCAACACTGCCACATTGATACTAGACAATTCATCATTACTGAGGTTGAGAGTCGATCCATTTTCTGAAAATAGGCTCATAAAAATAATTCAAAATGATGATGAAAAAGACTTAATGCCTTTGCATTTTTGTTTGAATAAATTAAAAGGGGACATCATGGTTAATGCTACGCAGTACTTGGCAAGTATAGTGGTGTGCCTTTTCCTTTCCTCTTTTCTTTTTTGTATCGGTCTCTCATTTCCACTTGATCATTTCCACGCCTCATATCATTAACCCTTATGTTGTATTAATTCATTGGCACCCAGATAAATAATACAATTTCTGCACTGTGCTAATAAGATTAAGAAAACTAGTGCACCTTGATTAGAAAAGTAAAAGAACCAAGAAACACTGACTTTCATTTGGATGAAAAAAGATCCAGAGTCTAGCAAAACTTTATATATGACGAGCAAACCAGGAAGCAATGTTAAAACATTACTGAAGATAAAGAAACAGAATGCAGCTATATTATGAGCTAAAGAACAACAACAAATTTGAAACAACATATGAATCAGCAGCACCCAGATGCCCCTGCACTGATACATTTTCATTGTAGCTAGTCAAGATATTAAATAGAAAACTTGATATCTAAAAAAAATTGCACATCTTGGTTACTGATTAATGTGCAAGAAATAAGTTTCTCTTTTAAATGTGAGAGATTGGTCACACACACACTATGTGTGCTGCACTTGAGCTTCGTAATGGCACTCTGTCACAAAAAAATTGTGACTTCAATTTGATCATATTTTATTTTGAAAATGTTAAAATGACAGCGTAAAATCCTTTTTAAGCCTATCCAGTTAGAACAGTGTACATTAAGAAAAGGACTAAACTTAATTTCTTTAATTTTCCAAATAAACTGAATAAGTAAGATAAATGTTAAATATAAAGATTAAAAGAATTAAAGGAATTTTAGACTTAAATAAAACTAAAACTCCTATACATTTATGTTATTTAATAACTAAATTAAACTGCATGACTAAAATGTGACCTTATTAAAACTGCAAAACTGAGTAATTATATTCAATATTTAGTTGACTAGATTAAAAGTGTACGACTAAAATGCGACTAAAGCTAAAACACATTTTAATCAACTTGACTAAGATGGTGACTACATCAAAAAATGGTGACTAAATTAACACTGATCTGAATAAACATGCATTTATTATGAAACCAGTTAAGCCATTTTGATTAAAAACAGACAATAACCATTGCACTGATTTTCTGACCTTTCAGCATGTTTTGTGCATTTAGACTGATTCAGGGTTGCTGTAGAAAATGGGCTAAAATCTTAGGCAGTTGAGAATCTTCTACTTTATTGAAGAATGCATTACTTCCAGTATTTTTAACTTCACCAGTATGAACCTGATTCTAATATAAAGAAAACATAACATCAAATTCGAAAGTGTCATGATGGCCACTCAGACTGTAACAGAATAAGGAAACCTTGTAGGAGTGTGAGTATTTTTACAAGGCACTTTATAATGTATGATTAATAATGCATATTAATTGTGTCTGTTTTCCAGCATTTTGCAACTGTTGTGTCTACAAACATTAACAAATGTGTCACCAAAATTTGGAAATGTTAAAAAAATGAAAAACAAATAATATAGATTCCTTTTCTAGAGTAACTGAAGTGTTGGTATACACACATGAGACAGAGGCCATGCTCTGTGTACATAAATTACAACAGAGAGTCCGCAGTTGAGAAACGGCTTCATGTTTTATCATGGAGGCAACTATCCACTCAAAATCAGATTAAACATTTAAATAAGCTTTATTTTTTATATGAATAATAATGTATTTGTCCCAGTGACTTGAACATGTATTTAGCAGGAAGGAGCCAGTGGGTACCATCTGTTTTTTATTAGTCTTCAGTAGGTGTGCCATGGGATGGGAAAGGTCGAGACAAAATACACAATACAATTTGTTTTTGTGGGCTTCAAAACTTAGATCATGCTTATTGCTCTGGTCCTAGAATGATCTCTCTACTCAAGGTGTGTCAGTAGTTTTAAACTAATTTTATACTCTACCTGTTTATTTCGTGTTTCATGTATTAATTGATAGGAAATGTTTATGTGTGTGTTTTTAAAGCTTTTGTTTTTGTTTTATTATGATGGTGAATACTTAAATAAAATAAAGATAATTATTTTTATCTCCCTAGACCTTGTGAGATTCTCAACCATGGATGGCTCCAATATTACCCATCATTCTGAGTTCATAATTGTAGGAGTTCCTGGCCTACAGGAACACTACACTGCCCTCTTTATCTTCTTCCTCATCCTCTTCCTGGCCACATTCATTGGCAATCTCCTCATAGTGGTGTTAGTTGCCCTGGACCACCGACTACACATGCCCATGTATTTCTTCTTGTGGAATTTAGCTTTCTTAGATATTTTGACAACAGTGTCACTCATACCCAAGATGCTAGCAGTATTTCTGACCATTGATAGGACCATCTCCCTTACAGGCTGTTTTGCACAGATGTACTTTATTATCTCAGTTGGGGCTACAGAAGAATTTCTTGTAGCAGTTATGGCTTACGACAGATATATTGCTGTAGTGAAACCACTGCATTACAATAACATCATCAACACAAAGGTCTGTCTTACAATAACGGCCACAGTTTGGGTGATTGGTTTCCTGGTACCTCTTGTCTCTGTAGTATTGGCATCTCATCTACCATTCTGTGGCTCTAACTATATTCTCCATTGTTTCTGTGATTACCCCACTGTAATGTCCTTAGCCTGTGGTGACATTACAGTACAAGTGAACTTCGCTCTGCTACTTGCCATGATTGTGATTTATGTTACTTTCCTGTTTGTCCTGTGGTCCTACTGTAGAATTTTATGGTCAGTGATAAAAATGAAAACTGTAGAGAGCCGTAAAAAAGCTTTCTCTATGTGCTCTTCACACATGATGGCAGTCTTTCTGTACTATGTGTCCACTGCTGTGGTGTATAGTGGTCTGAGAGTGGAGAGTATCTCTCCTGATGGACGCATCTTCATTGGTGGACTGAACTACTTCCTTGTCCCATTGGTTAACCCCATCATTTACAGCTTAAGGAATGAAAAAATCAAGGCAGCAGCTCAGAGGCACTTCAGATTCAAAGCTCAATTTCTACCAAATTCAAAAAACTCTGTGACCACAACACACTAAACTCAGGTTTGAAGACCTCCAATGTCTAAAATTAAGTCCTGACAATACCTTTTGATCTCCGAATCATTGAAGAATGGACAAGTATTATTTAGAGTC